ATTGTCTTCACGGTTTGGAATTCGGAGTATTTTTCTCCTAACAGGTGATAATGATTCTCCACAGCTTCCTTTTTTACTATATCTGAATTATCATGATATCTTGGGATATATAGGGAAGTGGATTCCCATTATCTTCTCTGAAAATTCAGAACTGTATTTTTGCTTTCAGGACACATGCGATCACGTCTCTCCACAGCCTTCATTTTTATTATAAGTGAATTAACCTGACTTCTTGAGAAAGGTAGTGGAATGTTTTCCATTACTTTCTCTACGCCTAGGAATTCAGAGTAGTCGTTTTATTTCTTCACAGCTTCCTTTTTTAATATAAGCGAATTACTTCTGTCAATATTTTTAGATGAGTTATTATAACTATTTACAGTATTTAAGGAGACATGGCTGAAGTAATCCAAGAAGGGACTTGACCCAAAATGTTGTGAGTTCAATACCTGGCAGAGGGAACAAAAACTTGGAGGATTGAGTTATTAAAGGGATTAAATGAAACCGAGATAGCCATAAAAGGCATGGCACGTGGAATTAGAACAATCTACCACCGTGGACTAAATAAAGAGTTTGGTTCGAAATTCCAACGTATAGAAAAGATCGGAGCGTACTGTGACCGAATCGTTGTGAATATGGTAATAAAGAGGAGGACACTAAACAATATAAATAGTGAATTAATATGGCATCTTGGGAAATAGTGTACAGAGTTTTATGATTGCCTTCTCAAATCTTTGGAATTCAGAGTAGTTTTTCTAATTTCAGGACTTGAGAAACATGGCTCTCCACAGAGTCCATTTTAGTATTTATGAATTACCAAGTGTTCTTCAGAAAGACAGTGGAGTGATTTCCCATTGCCTTCTCCACAGATTCCTTTTCTTTATTATCTGTGAATTGCCATGCGTTCTTGGGAGTGGTTTCCCGTTGCCTTCTACAGGTTTTTCATATTCAGAATAGATCTTCTTCTCGACTGACTTCCACTCAAATCTGTTTAACACAAAACTGGGAGGAGAAAAGCTGCGTTAATGCTTTTCCCCAAAGGTGTGTGTACAAAAATAAACCCAACAGTTTAAATCGAAATTTAAACTTGGCTCATCGATTCCAATTCCCATGCTACTATTAATTACCATATTCTCACGTCCAGACGTGTTTTTACGTGCTCCTTTCTTCACTAACTTGCACCAAGAATCACCTTATGCATTATACAAAGACGGTCACATTATGATGCAGTTTCTAGGTTCAACTTGCAAATTGGTACAAATGGCATCCATTTTTGTTGAACAATAACAGTGAATTTACATGTTATATTTTTGTCATATAGGACATAAATGAATAGAATCGTCTGTTTACGTGTTGTGGCCTGTTTAGGGGCCAGAAAGAAAGACACGGAAGACGAAGGTCGGTTGAAAAAAGTATATTGAAGATATATACAAATCAGTAGTGTTAGTAATAAGTAGATTAGCACTGCGTCTACTAATCCACTCCACTTCATATTCTACGCTCAGTATCCGACTCTCGCATTAGTATTTATGAGAGGAGGAAGAGTTCATTATACTATAACAGGGTTTACGACAACATTATGTAAATAAGCGGAGTTAATAGGTATCACTACTTGTTGACTATCTGCCTGCGCACAGATAGAAACGCAGAGGAGGCAATGCCGAAGGGCAGTGTCTCGTCTGGGGAGGTAGATAAACCCGATCCCGTTCTCCGGGAAATTTTTGCCCGCGCCAACGGGCTCGGAAAAACCCAGGTTAAACCGGCGTCGTGCCACATCTCGCCCTGTGGATAGTTCGGTTAAATACTAAGTTAGCATTTGGTCAATTAGTGTAGTAAACCTTCTATTTCATTACTTACCTATGAGGTTGTCTTTCTTATTTACTTTCCTTTGTTATCTCGAATACACGAGATACAGCAAATTTCAAATTGATATTTTTTTTTTTTTTGTTTTCAATGTTTGCGTTGAAATTTTAGTGTTTTAAATTGGGTGTAGTGTGGATTTTAGAATTTAAATTGTTTAGAACGGCTATTCGAGAATCACAATAGATTTTATTGATTTTTGGTTGATTTGATTTAATATGTATAATTCCTAAAATATGAAAGATATTTAAAAATTTGTTTTCCTGTATATTATTTTGTTATTCAAAAGGAACTATTTTATACTATTGATTTTTTTTTTTTGTACCATGTTTTGCTGTATTTCACTTTGACATTAGGACAAGTGATTCTAAAGAGTAGTGTTGTGGTTGCATAGCCTATATACGTGACGTTCCCAAACTAAAACTCAAAATCACCTAAAATTAAAAACTTAAAAGATGCAAATATTCCCTTCACGGCCATTTATTTCCTTTATTCTTAATAATATCTGAAGCTAATAAAAATTTAAATATTAACAAGAAGCAAATGAACTTTAGACGCGGTGCCTTTACACATTTAGCGCCATGATTTGAAAATTTATCCGTCTGGTAGAAACATTGATTTAAAAATTTGATAATCAGTATTTATCTGTTATCTTCGACAAAACCTGTTTAAATGAATACTTGCTGTCTATATGCATCCAATATAAATATAGTGATAATGAAGTAGTCAGTAATAAATAATGAGTAAAAAGTTAACGAAAAACAGAATAAAATAGCTACAAATAACCGTGTTTGGACCGACAATTATTTCTACACAAGAGCCTCTTGAATAATTTAGTATATGACCGTTACCGATTAACCAATAACCGTAAGGATTACACAATAGACACTGCTACCCATAATGCACCATCGAAATCATATATAAATAGTCTAGTCAAAAACTAAATACGCACGGCCTGAAAACTTATATATGTATTTACATATATATATTTTTTTTTTTCTGTAGTTTACTGCTACCAGCAAGCAGAAATATTTCTCCTCCCGATGATGACCATTTTGGGGTCGAAACTAGTCGAAGAATCTAAATGAAATAATAATAATAAAAAAAAACGAAAGAATATTAATCTACAACCCAGTGTCTGGAGATTTTAATTTTTTAATTTTTTTTATTGTTCAATATATATAGATATAGATATAGATATATTGCGAGTAAGAATTCATTGAAACAGGTTTTGTTAAATTAAACCGACAGAATCTTTCATTTTAGCATTTAATTATATTTTCCAATTTTTTAATAATGTCATTATACATTGAAATCAGAAATATGGATAATTTGACCAAACTGTAAATTTTCTTCTCTTTTTGTTTGATTGTCTCAGTCATTATCAAGAACTAGAGGCTGTCGGTGTGATAGAAAAGATTTTGTTGGATATAACCAAGCGTTTCTTTAAAACGTTACAATTCAAATCCAATACAGATATAGGCGTATTGTATAAGTGACGTTAAGTGCAAAACTATTTGAATGAAACGGTAAAGAATGTATAAAATATTTTATAAGTATTATTTATTATTTTAAAGGTATATGAAATATTTGTATACTATAAAATGTAATATCCTGTGGGGAAAATAAATGTAGATAATTTCGTTTGTATAATAATAGCCTCGAATATTCTGAGACTTTCCTTGCACTGAGTACTATAGTGTATTTTGTTATTATTCACATTACATAAAGTTTGCCCCATCCAATCCATTTCTTTAAAAAAAATTAAAATGAAATATTATTGCATTCTTTTTAAGTTAAAACACAGAATTTCAGTAACTAGTGTGTATTTGCTTTTATCTTGACAAAAAAGAAGAACTTATAAAAAATTATAATACAACAGGATCATATTTTGCTTTTGTCATAAAAACCACCGACTGCTTTATTTACTGCTTTATAATTTCTTTGCATTCTTTCCAACAGTTTTTTGCCTAAAAGTAGATGGCAGACCATTCCAAACATTCTTCAAGTACTTAAAAAGCTCGTTCTCACACTTTGGGTATTTTCTTCGAACTCTCCTATCAAATTCACCCCATAAAAATTCAATTGGAAAGAGGTCAGGAGGATGAGGCAGCCAACTCATAATTTTCAAACCTTTGTTCCTTTTTTTTTTAATTCGAAGTAATTTAGACTTAATTTAGTAGAGAGTTTTGGATCGGTGTCTTGTTGAAAAGTCTTCTTTTTTTTTATGCGTAAACCAGGCAGTATAGCAAATATTTGCAAAATCGAACAATAATGTTTTTTTTTTTCATGATTCCCGTGACCTGAATCATATCTCCAACCCTATTGGCAATTTCAAAATGTCTACTGAGCAATTAATGGATTAAAGATGGATTAAAGGATTAATTTTTAAAGAAACGCTATGTATCCCCAAACTTCTTGCCTGTAGTATAGTAATAGTTCTCTTATGATAAAAGTTGTGTTTTGTTTGTCTGTGATGTGATGATCGGACTATAAGCAACAGATATTTCGTTCTACAGAAAGATACTGAGAATGCTATAGCCGGAACATATAAGGAACGAGGAAGATTATAAGGGAAATGGGAACAAATGTACACTTATAAGAAAAACCGAAATTAACTTTTTTTTAATTTTTACGGATTATCAACACATATTTTAACTGTTTATGATTCTGCATCGAATTACAGTCAGATACGTTGCATTCATTTACACGCAAATACCACTGGGAAAAATATGAGCCCATTTCCTATCTCCAGCTATGGGTTACATAGTATTACTTGCATTATGAAAAATTACTTATAAAATAATGTTAATGCAGTATTCACACACAAAAATATAAGAATTATTCTTACAGTAAAAAATATTTCTCCTTTAAATAAACCCCTATTTAAAGCCGATATAATAAGGATAAACCCTTCCTTTTAAGATACAAAAGAGTGGAAGTTGTGAAAAGCATTGATCGCGAACGTCCTGAAGGGACACGACATATAAGTACGATGAAGAAAAAGAAAACTTGATCGGCATTTCCTACTTGACTGTTGGATTAACATCACTATACCGTAACCGGTTTTCTTACTTGGTGGTCGTAGACATCTACTCATCTTAGTGTAACCCAAAACTACAGTATTTATTTTCTAAATTTAGCCAAGAAGAGTTGCGTGTTAAACATCGCTTTACGCCAGATGCTCTTCTTTCTATCTGTCTTTCTGCGTGTCTATCTTTTCCTGAAGACACAACCAAAAATACCTCTTCCGTTTCCTGTTTGCAGAAGCAGGCACGACAGGAATCTTGAAGTTAATAATGACACGGTTTTCTGGCTTTTATCTTACACATAATCTTCTATTTCCTTCCTGCTTAAAAAAAACAATGTTGAATTTATTACCAACTGGCAAGAGAGTAAAAATGTTTTCAATCGATTACTGGATCTAAAAAAAGAAAGTCGGATATGCATGTTGAGATAAAAAATGTATTGTTTGAGCAACCGTTGCTTATGTTTTGTTAAACATTCCATTTAATAATACTAATAATAATGATAATAATATCCCTGGAAAATATGCAACTTTTGAAGAAAGGAAAATGAAAGAAACTTGTATAAACACCACCCAAACACGGTTACAGAAATAGTACCTGTAACAATTCTATGCGACTTTACAATACACACAGAACAATCAAAGCTAATCGCCCAGACATCGTGATCCAAGACCACAAAAAACAGAATATGCTTTCTTATAGACATGGCAGCCCCTGCAGATTGTAATGTATCTTTGAAGACCAAAATACAAGGATATTGAAGTGGAAATCTAAAAATTGTGGTACATAATTTCAGTTGTAGTTAGAACAATCGGATTGATTGAAAGGATTCTTGGTAGCCCATGCCTTAAAGAAATACAAATAATTGTACCCACAAGTACAGCTAACACATTACGAAGAGCATTAACTATGTAAAATGTGTGCGATCTTTTTTGTTTTAATTCTCATTAGAAAATGTCATGAAGCCATTTCTGACCTTAGGTCTCGGGCTGGAACCCGGAAGAAAATGTGTATACAACAGAAATCAAAGGAAATATAACAACAAAATCAATAATAATAATAATAACCTTTTCTTTATTATGAAACACCTGGCATTCACTGAAAGAGCTGCATGTAGTATTGTAGGTTGAAATTTATAAAATCTATCGTTTAAAACAATTTCCCTAAAATAGGTTAATCAACCCCAGTAGGTGTTATAGCTCTTTCCCGTATTGATAGAGGTTTCCTTCCTAACCTTTTATTTAAAGTAGTACGGAACGTCATAATCTCGATTATGTCATTATTTTCTCTTCGAGTTACATGTGATATCCATTTTAGCTGTTGCTGCTATTGAAAGTCCACAAATGTTGTTTCTGTTATTTGGTACAGTTCTTTGTTTTGTGATTCTGTAGGAACAGTCGACAAGGTTCGAAGTATGGTTTTCACTCGTTAAAAGCGATTTTTATTCATTGATCTAAGCTTGTGTGTACAGCTGAGAGTTTAGATATTTTTGAACAAGTTTGGTGCCATGAAAGTAATAATACTAATGAAGAAGAAGAAGAAGAAGAATATTCCCAGTTGATACGTTGAGTAGTCGAGAAAGCACAGAAAATTCATAACTATACAAATATAAAATCCGAAATCCAAAGAATTTGCCATTTCGGAAATATATAGACTCTATAATCAGATTAGGATTAGGAAGATTGCGTTTAAATCTAAGACAAAACACGATAAGGTAAGGATCAGCATTCTTTTATATGGATGCAGTCCTTTCGTATGTGTTTTTATATCAATTTGCCTACAGGATGGAGTTCCCCATTAATTTTTACAGATATCTTTACTTTGTATTATCTGTGAATTATAAAGCATTTTGTGGGGAAGATGGTGAAGTGGTTTCCCGTTTCTTTCTCTACGTTATCATTCCCTTAGACTGGTTGACTAGGGTGACGGCCATTTTGAGGAACTTGAGAGACAAGATTTCACTTTTCTTCAATCCATATCTATGGTATCTGTTCGATTGATTCATTCATGTTCTACGGCTTAGCGACGCTTTGCAGATTATTTAAATCCAGATAATATTTTTAGATTGTAAGAATTGTTTTAAAGATAATAATTGTTTAGTGATACAAGTCTTATTAATTAACCCATAGCTGGGAAGAGAAGAGGTGAATTAATACCTTTCGCAAGAGTATTTGCTCGTAAGTGAATATAACGAACCCAACTGGAATTGGAACTCGGCGTTCCGATTAACAATTCCGAGCCATTATTCTTTACGCCACCCGAACATCCAAGTTTAAGGCACTTGGTATTTTCAAGCGGTCACCTACCTAGGTACTGATCAGGCTCGACATTGCTTAACGTCAGTGATCGTACGGGAACAGGTGCTTGAGAAATAATGATAGTAGCTCTAAGATAAGAAGTTCTTACTGAACGAAGGCGATCATAAGTCTCCCCAACTACCTATCTAAGCCAAGCATCACGCAAAATCCCATTCTCTTCGCCTGTGTGACAATTTTAAAAGGAACTATCTCTCTTAAAGAAATATACCTACACGCAAGATGCTAGTGGCCCACTGGCAGGCCGCCGGTAGGGCTCTAACGGTCCGCCAGTGTTAGCATTAGAGAGAGGAAGATGCCGGAGGTCCAAAGGCGGGCCGCCAGTGGTAAACGTTAGTGGCATGCCACCCAGTGGCAGATTGGTGGCTTGAGTATAGGGATGTTATGTATATATCGCGTTTTTGTCTGTCTGTCCGTCTTTTGGGGTGACGGCCTACTAGCCTTAATATCATAATTATTTAAGATCATAATTGTGTTGATTTTGGCGGGAGGGGGAGCGATTTTAAACGAGTTGATGACTCGATTCAGTCAAGAATAAAGTTGTTAATCTCTGAGAAAATAAATACTACATCCATCTAGTCGAATCATCATCACATCTTCCGAGTTCCAAATGTAAGGAGAAAGCTCCAATCAAGAAAGCTTCCCCACCCCAACGCAAGAACTGCTACTCCAACAGACTAATATGTGGGTACTTCTCTGGACGCTACAATCTTGCTATCTTCAAATCGAGGGTCAATTGTTATCCATCCTCATTATCCTCACAAATATCAAAACTGAACCGCAACCATTTTCTTTCTTTGTCGATTGACCAATACAACAACCTAAATATTCCCTGTCCTGCCTCAGCTATAAAAAATCTTGGCTTTGCGAATTCTTTTGCCTTTACCGAAATTCGATCCACGTCCGTCAATGACATTCAAATAACAAAAACTGTCAACTATTGAAAACAATTACCTTTTTGCGCTCTGAAATTTATTTCAAATCGTCGAAGAATTTGTATCATTCCTCAGGACATTCCGGCTTTCATATTCATAACATAACTTATTTGTTTTTTTGTTTTTTTCAGTTTATCAGAAAGCAAGAAAAAATACATTTCTCTTTTTTTCCTTCGCTTCATATTTCAATTCATGTTTTCACTTTAACGTTTCTTTTAATGTCTTCACCCCTTCCAATTTACCAATTCTATACGGGGTTTAAGAACACTTTTAATCTTAATTTCATACTACCTGTGTCACAATAGTGTCTCATTATTTTCAGCAACTACCAATGACAATTTATAGTGTCACAATTGTAGCTTTCACAAAATCTAAACGCCGTAGAAAGCTAATAAATAGTTTTCGAATTTTGTTCTGGATGTTGTGTGAAGACGTAAAATAGTTCATAAAACCAATGGCTAAACAACTCCTTGCCACTTTCTCTTTCATTCATATCACACATTACATTCCTCCCTACTATTTTCATTGTAAATTTCTAACTTGAGTGGCTCTTGAGTCTTGTATTGGTTGAAGTTTATTTAAAAAAGAAACATCGCATCAACTTTTAATGTATGTTTTTCCTGTGCTAGGTTCGTTTCGTTTAATATTTTGTTTAGTGTTTGTAAGGCATCTTCTGCTATTCTAACGTAGCTTCGGATTTCAGTGCCACATTTCCATCATGTGTTTAAAACACTCTAGTTATATAGTTTAGGTGATCATGTATCTCCTTTTTTTAGCTATCTTGTTTATAATACATTGTGAAAATTTCTTACAATTGATGATAAGTCCTTTCTTCTCTACTTTCCTTCTCTCGAGAAATTTCTGCGATTTTTTGTCACTGACATCGGCACGATATCCTCTGCACATGTTAAGATCGCCTCCATAAATACGAGTAAGACTTTTAATATAGCTTCCCTGTAAGGGGTAAATAAATCAGGTTAGAAACTACATCCTTGTCTTATGCTCTTTTCTATTTTTTATATGACACAATTTTCTATCTTTATGGAGGTTACTCTAATTGCCATTACGAGCCCGGTGACTCATTTGAAACGTAGACACCATATTTACAGATATGATACCGATATTCCAGCAAAGCGGTCAGCTATCAAAAAAAAAAAAAAAAACTGTTTTAACATTCCTTTTTCCCAGCAATAATTTTCCGTCAACAAACTTTTGTTCGTTTAAAAATTATCTCTATGCTCTGTGGTAAAGGAATTTATTCTGTTTCTGGTTTCCAAAAGGATTGATCTAATCTCCCATTGTTTATATATTGGCTTTACCAAAATTCGCTTCAGGGTCGACAATGCCCTTCAAATAACAAAACAGTCAACTGCAAGCATTTTCTTTGTTTGTCGATTTGCCAATACAACCTAAATATTCCCTGTCCAGTCGCATGTATACAAATGACGGCTTTGCGAATTCTTTCGGCTTTACCGAAATTCGCTCCACAGCCATCAATGACATCCAAAAAACAAAATAGTCAAATATTCAAAACAATTAACTTTTTGCGCTTTGAAATTTATTTCAAATCGACAAAGAATTTTTCTCATTCTTTATTCTTCAGGACATATCCCAGACTGTTTTACATTCCGGCTTTCGTATTCATAACTTATTTGCTTTTTCAGTTTATCAGAAAGAAAAAAATCTCTTTTTTTTTTCCTTCGCTTCATATTTCAATTCATATTTACATCTTAGATTTTCTTTAACGTTTCCAACCCTTCTAATTCTCCAATTCTATACGGGATTTCACATGAACATTTTTACACTAAATTTCTTACTACCAGTGTTACAATAGTGTCTCATTCCTTTCAATTAATACCAATGACACTTTATAGTGTCATAAATGTAGCTTTGAAAAAAAAGAAAAAGAACGTAGAAATTTAACGAGTAGTGAATAGTTTTCGAATGCTATCCTGGATGCTGTGCGCCGAGTTTTCGTAAAGACGTAGAACAGTCCATAAAACCAATGACTA